GGCTCCTGGCTCAGCGGAGCCCTGCTGCTCCCCCTGCTTGTGCTCTCCCTCTCTCTCTGACAAATAAATAAATAATCTTAAAAAAAGATAAGAAGTCAGTTCCTAAGTCACAGTGAGCCACATTCCAAGTGCTCAATAGCCACATGTCGCTAGTGGCTACCATATTGGACAGTGCAGACAGAGAACATTTCCATTATCACAGAAAATGCCACTGGACAGCGCTGGTCTAGAAGGTGAAGCAGTGCTCCCAGTGGGCTCCTCACCCTCTGGGGGGGTGGATACATCTGGAGGAGGCCAGAGCTGGACCCCTCTTTCCCAGATGTAAAGGGAGAACTGCCAGAGGATGTCAGGAAGTCTTCACAGAGAGGGTGACATTAGAGCATTTGACCAAATTAGTGGGAGGGGATAGAAAAAGGGTGGTGAATGGCCATCCAGATATAGAAAGCATGTGCAAAAGTCCAGTGGCAATGATCTGTTGGGAGAAACACAACAGATTGGGTATGACTGGAATGCAGGGCGTGGATCTAGAAGGGGGAGGATGGGAGTCTGGAAGGATCCACTGCCAAGCCTCTCAAGGTGCGGGGGCCAAGCTAACGTTATGAGACTCAAGCCTGGTAGTTGATGGGATCAGGTGGAGCCGGAGAGACAGGACCATCTGGGCGCATCAGAAAGAGATGGTAAAACTGAAGACCAGTTGCAGACTTAAACAAAACAACAGACCAGGAGAGAGAGAAGCAGAGGAGAGGGAAGGGAGATATCTTTTAGAGGAAAGATATGGCTTTGATATAAGGGTGAAAAATAGCTCGTGCTTGGAGCGCAGGTGACAGAGAGCAGGTGAGTCACAACAGGCACGAGGACAACGTTACAGATTAGAAGAGACGTAAACAGTTCCATTTGGGATTCTTAGAAGCTGAAAGGCATCCACAGGGCCAGTCCAGACAGGAGAGTGGAGATTCAGGGCTGCACTACTAAGTGGGTGAAGAAGAAATGGATGTGGAAGCCACTAGAAGGCTGAGCTCTGGGGCACCTTGGTGGCTTAGTGGGTTAGGCGTCTGACTCTTGATCTCAGCTCAGGTCTTGATCTCAGGGTCGTGAGTTCAAGCCCCTCCACGCTTGGGTGTGGAGCCTACTTTAAAAAAAAAAAAGAAGAAGAAGAAGAAGAAGGCTGAGCTCTCCCACGGAGGTAAACAAGTCTGGAGACCCATCTGTGGATCAAAACTGGGAGGATGCCTCCACTGAGGTTTCAGGAGGCCACAAGAAAAACCAGGACCTGCAGATTTCCCCAGATAAACCGCCTTCTGCAGGGCTGACTCCCAGAACACCCAGCAGGCACCAGCTAGCATTCTGTCATTTGCTGGTAAGGGAGGCTGGGTGGAGACTGAGGAAGCTCAGCTCTGGGAGGTTTCAGGGAGGAAGGAGACTGAGTCCCAGGCCCTGTGAGGCAGTCAAGAGGGTAAGGACAATAAGATGTTGGACAAGTAGGATGTTCCTAGTGGCCTTCAAAAAGAATAATGCTTTCAACAGGAGCTGCTGAATTTCAAAGGCAAAGTTTGGAGGCAGGAGGGAGAGAAGAGGAGAAAAAGGGGCAGAGCCTAAGCCTATTATCAACAGAAAGAAAACACACATATAATTAATAGTGTCATTCTTTTTTTTTTTTTTAAGATTTTATTTATTTGCGAGACAGAGAGTGAGAGACAGAGAGCATGAGAGAGAGGAGGGTCAGAGGGAGAAGCAGACTCCCTGCTGAGCCGGGAGCCCGATGTGGGACTTGATCCCGGAACTCCAGGATCATGACCTGAGCCGAAGGCAGTCGCTTAACCAACTGAGCCACTCAGGCGCCCAATAGTGTCATTCTTAACCTGTGTTGAAAATCTGATTGGAGTTTTTACAGATAACTCCAGGGGTTAGTCCTTAGAGATTCAGGAGTTCCATAAACCCCTTAAGGTGGAGACCCTCATCCCCAAGAACATAATATTGCTTGTGTAGTATTTCCAACAAGGATGTGTGGCCTGAATCTACACATAAGGAAACACCAGACAAACCCAAACTGAGGAGCACTCAATTAAAAGAAAGGGGGAGCGGGGAAGCTCTACTCTGAAAAATTGTGAAAGATGGAAAAAAGATAAGGAATTTCTCCAGATTGAAGAAGTTTAAAGAAATGTAATATGTGATCCTAGTCTGGATCCTACACTAAATGCTCTAAGGGACCCTTATTGACTCAACTGATCACATTGGAATATGGACAGTAGATTAGTTACAAGTATTATATCAATGTTAAATTTCCCAAAGTTGAAAAGTCTACTGTGGTTGTGCAAGAGAATGCCCTTGTTCTTAGGAAATAGCCATTTACTTGTGAGCAAATGAGCATAATGGTGGCCACCCTCAGTTCAGGAGGGAAAAAAAATACACACACACACACAGAGTGACAGGGGAAGAAAACAGGATGAAATTTTAACAACTGGTGATGGTATATGGATATTTTGGTATATGGTATATTTTAGCAACTGGGTAAGTGGTATATGGAGGATCTTTGTATAGTTCTTGCAACTCTCCTGTAAGCTTGAAATTTTTCCAAATAAAAAGCTTAAAAAAAAAAAAAGAAAGAAAGAAAACCTCTACCCAGACCAGGCGCTCTGAAGTTAGGGCCATTTATCCTGCTCTTCCCCAGCGCTGGTCCTGGATTGGCCCAGGGCAGACCCTCGGTCGGGGTCCTGGGTCTACAGGGCAGAATTAGGGGCACAGGTGGTGACTGGAAGGGCCGAGGCCGCCGCTTGGGGACATTCCTCGCCCCCGACATTTTCTGACCTGACAGCTGAAGGAGCCGCGGCCCCAAGCCCCAGTGACTCACCCGCTGGACTCCCGGGGCGGAGGGGGGAGCCCCGCCCCGCACGGAGGGCCCCGGCCAGCAGGTGCCGCTGTTGAGCCAGCTCCGGCGGACCCTGCAGAGGCTCAGCCGGGACCCGGAGATGGTGAGCCCACGGGGTGTCTGGATTCCAGAGCTCGGCCCACCGGGGTCTGTAAGCAGCCTCGCTCGTCCTTGCCGGGGTCTAACTTCCCACTCCCAGGCTTCAGCTTCCCCGCACCCCCTCCCCCACCGTGGATGCCCCAAAACGACTCCCTAGGATGACACCTGGTGGAGGAAGGGAGGGGATAAGCAGGAAGAGGCTTCAGTCCTTGGCCCTAGAGTCTTGAGTAGCAAATTAATCTTCCCTTTTCTCTGCCCCATCTTTTCTTCTTCCTACCCCTTCCCCCCACCCCATTCACTCCCTCCTCCTCCTCTTTTCCCTCCTCTCCCTCCTCCTTCCCCTCCTCCCCCTCCTCCCCCCCCTCCTCCTCTTCTTCCTCCTCCTCCTCCCACACTTGAGCAGCCCCAGGCTTTCAAAACAAACACACCCCTCCCTGACCCATTCCCAGCTTGCCTGGGCCTTTCTCAAGAAGTTGTTGCTCCTAGACTCCAGTTCCTTCTGCTGGTCTGGGAATCTGGATGGAGATAGATAGGGAGGGGGTAACAGGGTGCTGAGGAGGGTAGGGAGAGGCCCTGTGGTGTTTTTTCTTCCTGGGTAGAAAGGAGTTGCTGTCCCACTGCCTGGCTGGCTCAGTTGGAGGAGACTGCGACTCTTGATCTCAGGGTCTTGAGTTGAAGCCCCACATGGGATGTAGAGATTACTAAAATAAATTTAAAAACAGGGAAGAAAGGAAGGAAGAGAGGGAAGGAGGGAGGGAGGGAGGAAAGATGGAAGGAAGGGAGGGAGGGAGGAAGGAAGGAAGGAAGGAGTTGCTCTCACACAGCCCCCCTACAGTAGAGTGGGATGTGCTGGGGAGGTGGGGTGGGGGGGAGTCTTCCCTGCCTGGGATGGTAGAGCTGGCCCTTTACTCCAGCTCTCTCCTGGCCTTCCCAGACTCAGGATGAAAGGGGCCTACAGAGGTCATTTTGTCCATCCCCCTGGTCCAGGTAGGACCGTAACTGTGTGAAACTCTCCCAATCCTCCATGTTCACTAACTTCTTCAACAACCCTCCACTGAACACCAGCTTTGTGCAAGGTACCAGGAGCTTTTCCTGATGCCAGCACCTTAAATCCTCACTAGGACCACCGGAGATGGGCACTGTTCGTCTGAGCTGACTTGTCCAATGATCCAGTTCAATGCAGTGCTCTGCTGTGGCTCCTTCTGACTCACCCAGTGGGACCGACCTCCTTTAGCTCTGGGGTCCCCACTGTTCTAGCATGTGCCTCACCAGCTTCCAGGTATGTGTTTTTGTGGGTCCCCCACCCCTACCAGACAGAACTCCAGACCACAGCGGCCAGAGACAGTGAAGCCTGGGGGCACCTGCTCTAGCCCTCGCTGGGCAGCCTTGAGGAAGTTTCTTAACTTCTTCAAGATCAGTTTTCTAATCTGTAAAACAGAGTTAATGGCAATACCTTCCTCATGGGTGGGATCTGATGGGAAAATAAGAAGAGGTCTATAAAGTGCCTAGTAGAGGTTTAACTTTAAAAAGAGAAGCCCTGGGGTGCCTGGGTGGCCCATTCGGTTGAGCATCTGGCTCTTGATTTCAGCTCAGGTCTTGATCTCAGGGTCATGGGATCGAGCCCCACATCGGGCTCTGTGCTCAGCAGGGAGTCTGCTTGAAATTCTCTCTCTCCCCCTCCCTCTGCCCCCCACTGCACTCTCTCTCTCCGTCAAATAATAAATAAACCTTTTAGAAAGAAAGAAAGAAAGCCCATCCCCACCAGAATGGATGATGGATGTGGAGCAAAGGAACTCTCATAGTCAATTGGTAGAAAAGCTTAGCAGTTCCTGTTACAGGTGAATATATGCATTCAGTACCACCTGACAGTTTCACTCCTAGATATATGACCGAGAAGAACATGGGCATGTGTACACCAAAAGACACGGAAAATAATTTTCATAGCAGCACTAATCATGATAACCCCAAACTGGAAACAACCCAAATGTCCAGTAGCAACAGCAGAATGAATTAATGCACTTTAGTAAATTCATGCAATGGAATACTATATAGCGATGGAAAATAATGAGCTACTCCTACTCATAACAACACAGATACACCTCAGAGACATAATGTTGAGGGAAAGAAATCAAGCAAAAGAGAGGTACACATAGCGTCTTTATTTTCATACAAAGTGCCAACCAACCAACTGATCTATGTTAGAAGTCAGGATAGAGGGTACTCTTGGTGATTAAAAATGAGACTTAGGGAGTTCTGGAAGCTGATAGTGTTCTGGTTCTTTTTTTTTTTTTTTAATTTTTTTTTTTACGATTTTATTTATTTGAGAGAGAGAATGAGAGAGAGAGAGCGAGCACATGAGAGGGGGGAGGGTCAGAGGGAGAAGCAGACTCTCTGCTGAGCAGGGAGCCCGATGTGGGACTTGATCTCAGGACTCCAGGATCATGACCTGAGCCAAAAGCAGTCGCTCAACCAACTGAGCCACCCAGGCGCCCTGATAGTGTTCTGGTTCTTTGATGGGTGTGGTTACACAGATGTTTCGACTTTGTAAAAATTTATTAGGCTGTACACTTATGATTTATGCACTTGTATTAAATGTTATACTTCAGGGCGCCTGGGTGGCTCAGTCGTTAAGCGTCTGCCTTCGGCTCGGGTCATGATCCCAGGGTCCTGGGATCGAGTCCCACATCGGGCTCCCTGCTCGGCTGGAAGCCTGCTTCTCCCTCTCCCACTCCCCCTGCTTGTGTTCCTGCTCTCGCTATCTCTCTGTCAAATAAATAAAATCTTTAAAAAAAAAAATTTTATACTTCAATAAAAGGTTTACACTAATGTAAAAAAAGACAAATGAGTTGAGTGACTTGTGTCACATAAATCTTAAAGTGTTTTTGACTAAAAAGCAAGTGATTAAAATATTTGGGTTGTATGATTCATAGAAATTTTATTTATTTATTTTTTAAATGTTTTTAGGGGGGCACCTGGGTGTCTCAGTTGGTTAAGTGTCTCCTTCAGTTCAGGTCATGATCTTAGGGTCCTGGGATGGAGCCCTGAGCTGGGCTCCCTGCTCAGCAGGGGTCTGCTTCTCCCTCTCCCTCTGCCCCTTCCCCCCACCGCTCGTGCTCTCTCTCTTATTCTCTCTCTCTCTCAAATAAACAAATAAAATCTTTTCTAAAAAATAAATAAATGTTTTTAGGTTATCCTTATGCCCAACATGGGGGTTCAAATTCACGACCCCAAGATCAAGAGTCATACACTCCACCGACTAAGCCAGCTAGATGCCCCCACAGAAATTTTAAAAGTGCCTACCACTACGGGGGTGCCTGGCTGACTCAGTCTTTAGAGCATGCAACTCTTGATCTCAAGGTTGTGAGTTCGAGCCCCACACTGGGTGTAGAGATTACTAAAAAATAATAATAATAAACTTACCAAACAAAACTACTTAACCACTACATATTATTTAAGCATACATCCCTAGGGAGTACAAATAGCAGACATACGGGGGATGATAAATACCAAATGCAGAACAGAGGTAGCATTTTAGTGGGAGAGAGGGGACTGAGATAAGCACGAGGGACATCACATGTTTTTCTAGTTTTCTTAAACCAGGTGGTTCTTATCACAGCTATTCATTTTATTATTCTTATTACTTTATACTTTTCTGATTGCCTGACGTATTTATAGTTAAAAATACTTCTCAGGGCGCCTGGGTGGCTGAGTCAGTTAAGCGTCCGACTCTTGATTTCAGCTCAGGTCTCGACCTCAGGGTAATGACATCAAGCGTGGAACCTGCTTAGGGTTCTCTCTCTCCCTCTCTCTCTCTTTAAAAAATTAAAAAATAATAAAAAATAAATATACTCCTCAGTGTTTAAAAAAAAAAGCAGGAGAAGGAAGAAATTATGTCTGATTTATCTTTGTCTTTCCAGCGCCAGCCTAGTGCCTGGTGCTCAATAAATGTTTGGTGAAGGTCACTGAGCCTGTAAAAGCCTCAGAGCCGGGGTTCATATCAAGTCTTCCCACACCAAATCCCAAGCCCAGGGCCCAACCCCGCCCCACCCCTCCCCACCCTGCCACAACTTGGGGACACCTGTGGAGGGGCAGCAACAAAGGAGCCCCCAGCCTTACTCAGCACTCTGTGTATCTGAACTGAATTACAGGGAACAGAGAAGCAAGGCACAAAACGACTTCATTAATCGGCGCTGTGCAAATTCAGAATCCGTTAGCCTAAATTTCTATGAATCACCCTGCCAAAATCCTTTCATAACCTGCTCTTTATCTGAAACCTTTTAAGACGTATCTGTATGATAGCTTGATGCTTTCGTCTTTTTTATATTAGCACACTTGTCCTCTCCGTGGGACAGAAAAGGGGGCTTTGTAAGCCAAGTTTTGGTTAAAACAGGATTGAGGAGCACATCTGGCTGGGGCGAGAGAATAAACAAACAGCCTTCAGCACATGAATTCTTTGCAAGCGAAGAGATGCCACTAACTGCAGATGCATTCTCTCTGTTTGTTAGGCCCTGTGTGGAATGCAGCCTCCGAGAACAGCACTTCTCACCACTCAAAACCCATCCAAGCATGCCCAGCCCCGAGAGGGGCTTCTAGGAATGCAAACGATGGGCTGCCGGGGGAGCAGTAAGCCGACTTAACAGCATAGTGAGCACACGGGCAGGGGCTTGAAGGCTTGGAGGGTTGTTTTTAAGGAAGAGAAATAGGTCCAATCCTACGGGAGGCTGATTATTCACTTCCCTCCAACCAGAGCGAATAGTTTAAAGGGTTTCAAATGACGCTGATGTGGCTGAAGCTGCCAGAAGCCCATCCGATCATCCGTGGCATCATCACACACCTGTCTACACAGCAGATCTTCACCCTTACTGATCGGCATTAAGAAGCAAGGTCTCTGCTTGCCAGCACGGGTGAAGGCAGTGAGGTCCTGCACTTTACGTAGGAAAATGATGATTCTCTTCAAAAACATTCCCATTCCGACTGTCTTCTTGCCACCAGCAGCTCCCCACCCCCACAAGGCAGGCTGAAATCAATTCAACAGCTATTCATTCACTCACTTAACCAATTTAGTATTTGATTTAAAAAAAATTGTGCCAGCCATTGTGTCAGTGCTGGGGTGGCAAAGATGATTAATAGGGTCCCTACCCATAGGATCTCAGAGTCATGCTAACAAATAATTAGGATTCCGTGTGATTAGGGCAATGATAGAAGGAAATTCAAAAGGGAGGTCCCCAAGGAGGGCAGGGATGGCTGCTTATCTACCTCCCCAAGCTCCCCACCCCTCCTCCCCAACTTGCCAGCCAAGCCCAACATCCAGTTCCTGAAATCATTCCTCTGAGTCCCTGCCCTGCTGTTCTCTCTGCTACTGATGTCCTTTCCCACCCTCAGCTGACTCTAGCCCCCTACTTCTCCCCCAAGATTCAGCTCCAAAGGATAAGCCCCAAATTCAGGTGGGTGCTTCATCTGGAAGAATTCCATCAGGGAGGAAAACCCTGGGGATCATTTTTAATGTTGCATTTCCTGAGCAGGGGTGGGGGGGGTGGGTTCCTTCTCTCATTCTATATGCCTTTCTGTGTCTGAATTATTTCGGCATAGTGTATTTGCAAAAGAGATCCAGTTCAAGCCACACCTCCACCTTTAATCCCCACCTCCTGCTACGTTTCCTTGTCAAGAATCAAGCTCAAAAATTCCTTACTGTCATTCAAAAGCAACTCTGTGTTTCTAAAGATGCATGGAAATGACTGTCACCAATCTAGGATCCTGGGTGCACCCCCCCTAGGGGGCAGAATGCAATTGGGGAATGGTAAGACGCTAGGGCTTCAACAGTAATAGCAATGTTGCTATTTCTTAAACTGGGTGGTGGATACATGGGTGTTTGTTTTATGTCTAAAATATTGTATGTAGGGGCTCCTGGGTGGCTCAGTCCGTTGAGCGTCTTCCTTCAGCTCAGGTCCTGATCCCAGGGTCCTGGGATCGAGCCCCGCATCAGGCTCCCTGCTCCTCGGGAAGCCTGCTTCTCCCTCTCCCACTCCCCCTGCTTGTGTTCCTTCTCTCGCTGTGTCTCTCTCTGTCAAATACATAAATAAAATCTTTAAAAATAAATAAAATAAAATATTGTATGTAATAAATAAAACATTTGAAAAAGCAACTTTGTCCAGAGTGAGAGGGAACAGGAGGGAAGAGGAAGAGAGAAGGAGCTTCAGAGAAGTTAGATAATGAAGAGCAAAGAGGTGGCTCTCTGCTAGGCAGGAAGGGTACACGAGTAATCAGGCTTAACTTGCTGGCATAGAGCCGAGAGCAGCAAAAAAGGTATAAGGCCGGGGCGCCTGGGTGGCTCAGTTGTTAAGTGTCTGCCTTCGGCTCAGGTCATGATCCCAGGGTCCTGGGTTCGAGCCCCACATTGGGCTCCCTGCTCAGCAGGAAGCCTGCTTCTCCCTCTCCCACTCCCCCTGCTTGTGTTCCCTCTCTCGCTGTGTCTCTCTCTGTGAAATAAATAAAATCTTTAAAAAAAAAAAAAAAAGGTATAAGGCCATGTCTCACTGTAGAGAACCATATGGTGGTGGTGGCGGAGAGCATGGAAGCAGAAGCTGGACCATCTAGGTTCAAATCCCAGTACAATCTCTTATTAGCCTCATGGCATTGGCAACTTACTTCAATTCCCTCATCCTGAAAAATGTTTGTGGGGATCAAATGAGTTGAAGTGTGTGAGGTCACACTGGTTGGTATCCAGCGAGTGCTGAATTTGATTGTTAACTTATGTTATTACTTGTTAGTCATGTGACCCTGAACAAGTCACCTCAGTTCTCTAAGACTCGGTCTCCCCATCCATGAAATGGGAATCTCATGATATCGCCCAAATAAACTCATGTGAAAGAAAGTGGCTTGAACACTCCAGAGTGATTTGTGAACAAGAGTTAGAATTAAGGGGTGCCTGGGTGACTCAGTCAGTTAAGGGTCCAACTCAATTTCTGCTCCGGTCATGATCTCAGGGTGGTGGGATCCAGCCCTGTGTGGGGCTCCATGCTCAGCCGGGAGTTTGCTGGAAATTCTCTCTCCCTCTGCCCCTCCCCCTGTTCTCTCTCTCTTTCTCTCTCTCTCTCAAATAAATAAATAAATCTTTTTTTTTTTTTAAGGGTTAGAATTAAATAAGAAGCTATAGGTGGGGAGATCACCCAGCTGGCTCAGTCGGTGTAATGCACAGGACTCTCTTTTTTTTTTTTTAAGATTTTATTTATTTATTTGACACAGAGAGAGAGAGAGAGCTAGTGAGAGAGAGAGAGAGAACAAGCAGGGGGAGCGGCAGGCAGAGGAAGAGGAAGAAGCAGGCTCCCTGCCCGATGCAGGGCTCGATCCCAGGACCCTGGGATCATGACCCGAGCCAAAGGCAGATGCTTAACCGACTGAGCCACCCAGGCGGCCCCTGCACAGGACTCTTGATCTCCGGGTTGTGAGTTCAAGCCCCACATTGGGTGTGGAGCCTACTTTAAAAAAAAGGGGGGGGGGAGAAGAAGCTATAGGTAAAACAAGAAAGGATAAGGTACATGAGGACGGAGATTATGTCTATCCAGCTTCCTGTGACATCCCCAGTGCCTGGCACAGTGCTGGGCACAGCATGGACACCCGGAGTTATGGGCTGAATTGAGTCCCCCCACCCACAAAAAAGATATGTTGAAATCCTGATCCCCAATACCTTAGAATATAACCTCTTTTGGAACTAGGGTCTTTACATAGGTAATCAGGTTGAAAGGAGGTAATTAGGGTGTCCTTATATTTTAGTTTATATGCTGCTGAAGCGAGCAGTAGGGTGTCCTCATACAAAGGGGAAATTTGGACACAGACAGACACAGAGATTGGAGTGATGCGGCTGCAAACCAAGACTACAGACTGCCATGCCAGAAAGCCACCAGAAGCTAAGGAGAGGCAAGGAAGGCTTCTGGCCCTGAAGGTTTCAGAGGGAGCACGGCCCTGCCCACACCGCGATTCCAGTCTTCTAGCGTCCAGAACCATGAGAAAATACATTTCCGTTGTTCCAAATCAGTGCATGGTGCTCTGTTCCCGAGGCCCTAGAAGACCAAACACGCGGTATCTATCGGATGAACAAATAGTGCTGTTGGTGCTTCCGAGGACACCCACCATCCCTTTGCCGGCAGAGAAGGGTGTGGTGTCCAGGCAGGCAATGGAGAAGGCACCTGTCCCTTCTGTGTGTGGCTGGGGAGCAGCTGTGGGCAGACTAAGGCAGGTTCTGAACCCGGGGCAGAGTCTGTGCTCTTCATTTCCACCCCGGAGAAGCCCAGCTGGCTCTAGGGAACCCTCCCGGCCCAAGCCTCCAAGTGGCCTCGTCCCGCCCTCCCTCCACTCTGGGTGAGCAAGAAGAGATGGGGTGAGGGATAATCAAAAAGGCACTAGAAAGGGAAGCGAGGATAGCATTTGATTCTGAAACTCCCGGCAAACGCACAGGGCACTGGTTCACAGATGGATGCCAACAGCAGGAGGCCTGGGTAAAGCCCCGGTCTGGAGGCCCCCCTGCCCAGATGGGGCAGAAGTCATCATCATCACACACACTGTGGGTGGTTTTGCTGCTGCGGCCGTGAGGCAACAGATCTTTGCTAGGCAAGATTTCAAAATCTGACTGCTGGAGGGGCCCTCAGCATGTTTTCTGCTCTTACCTCATAAGCCCTGGCCCATCCATGGAGGCTAGGAATCTCTGGAGAGATTGATGGAAATGCATCCTTCCTCTTTTTTTTTTTTTTTTTAAGACATTTCTTTTTTTGAGAGAGAGCACGTGTGGGAGGGGCCAAGAGAAGAAGAGACAATCTCAAGGGGACTCCGTGCTGAACGTGGATCCTGACACAGGGCTCCATCTCACGACCTTGACCTTGAGATCACGACCCTGAGATCACGACCTGAGCCAAAACCAAGAGCTGGACGTTTAACCCACTGCGCCACCCAGGCGCCCCATACCTCCTTCCTCTTTAATCTGAGCTCTGGCCACCCCCATGCCTTCCAAAGCTCCCCAAACACCCTGACTCCTTGTCTGGCATCTGCATACTGGAAGTCATGACATCTAGGAGTCCTCCTAGGGATGTGGGCAAGTGAGAGGCAACCCACACATGGGACGTGTGGTCACAGACAGCTGGGCAGAGAGAACATTTAGAGTTCTTAGAACTGCAGTTCTCAGCCCTGGCTGCACAGAGAACCGCCCCCCACCGCCCAGAGAGCCTTAAAAACTCTGATGCCTGGACGGCATCCCCAGACGGATTATAAACTCTAATGCCTGGACGGCATCCCCAGACAGATTATATCAGAATTCCCGGGGGCTGGCACCCAGACTTCGGAACTTTAAAATGTTTTCCCAGGTGATTCCGATAGGCAGTCAAGTTGAGGAGCAATACTTTGTTGGACAAAGGAGCTCTGCAAGGAGAGGGAAGCTGGACTCCAGCTGGATGGGAAGCAGCAGGGAAGCAATCATCTCAAAAGGCTTCTTGAAAAGAAGAATGGTGGTTGCCAGGGGCTGGGGGTGGGTGGGGTGGGTAGTTATTGTTGAGTGGATACAGAGTCGCAGTTTGGGCACATGAAAAGAAAGAAGTTCTGGAAATGGATGGTGGGTTATGGTTGCAAAACAACGTTAATGTACTTAATGCCACTGAACTACACCCTTAAAATAGTTAAAGAATACAAGAGACAGAATCATAGATTTAGAAAGGTATTTAATCCAGCCTCAGGATCGGTGTTGAATTAGGTGACATCTAGAAATCTCTTGAAGATATGTACATGTATGTCGATATCTGCATATCTATCTGTATCTTTGTAGGTAGTTGGATGATAGGTAGATAGATAGAGACATACTTTGGGGAAAAGAAAAAGATATGCTTTGGGGAGGGGATCTGGACAAGCTGCTTTTTTTTTTTTTTAAGATTTCATTTGGGGCGCCTGGGTGGCTCAGTCGTTAAGCGTCTGCCTTCAGCTCGGGTCATGGTCCCAGGGTCCTGGGATCGAGCCAGAGTCCTGGGATCGAGCCCCGCATCGGGCTCCCTGCTCAGCGGGAAGCCTGCTTGTCCCTCTCCCACTCCCCCTGCTTGTGTTCCCTCTCTCGCTGTGTCTCTCTCTGTCAAATAAATAAATAAAGAGACACAGGGAGAGAGGGAACACAAGCAGGGGGAGTGGGAGAGGGAGAAACTGGCTTTCCACCGCCTAGGAGGGAGCCCTATGCGGGGCTCAATCCCAGGACCCTGAGATCATGACCTGAGCCTTAACGACTGAGCCACCCAGGCGCCCCCAGGACAAGCTGCTTTTAAATGTACTCTAGAAAAAAAAAAAAATCTAAGGATATCCAGGGATCTTTAGTAAAAAGAGGGTAATGAGAGAGAACAGAGCTATCAGATATTAAAGCATATTATGCAGCATAATAATTTTTTTAAAGATTTTATTTATTTGAGAGAGAGAGAGAATGAGCAGTGGGGAGGGGCAGAGGCAGAAGGATAGAAGCAGACTCCCCACTGAGCAGGGAGCCCAATGGGACTCCATCCCAGCACCTGGAGATCATGACCTGAGCCGAAGGCAGACGCTTAACCAACTGAGCCACTCAGGTGCCCCACAGCATAATAATTTTTTAAGTGTGATTGGTTTATCAGTAAATGAGATGGAGGGGTGCATGGGTGGCTCAGTGGGTCCAACGTCCGACTCTTGATTTCAGCTCAGGTCATGATCTCAGGGTCCTGAATCAAGCCTGAGTTGGGCTCCGAGCTCAGCAGAGAGTCAGTTGGGGATTCTCTCTCTCCCCCTCTCCCTCTGCCCCGCCCCTCCCAGCGCCGGCGCATGCGTGCTCTCTCTCTCTCTCTCTCTCTCTCTAACAAATAAATAAATCTTTTTTAAAAATGAGATGGAGAGGGCGCCTGGGTGGCTCAGTTGGTTAAGCGACTG